GATGAGGCTGGCTAATATCATTATGCCTTTACATGGGAAGGATGACGATTCACCCAGGGTTAAGGCCCCAGAGTTTACTGAAAGTCCTCACAAATTTCAAAAGCAGACATAGATATTAATTTTTCTGGAGCCTCCACCTTACTATCATATGTAGGTGATTTACTTCTCCGCTCACCCCCGCAATCATCCTCAAAATAAGGCAATATTCACCTGTTAACACTCATAGCAACTAGAGTACACATGGTCTCTAAGGAAAAGTTGCAGTTTGTTCCAACTCAAGTCCAATATTCAGGACATTTAATGTCGGAACAAGGGTGACATACAGATCCTGATAGGCTTCATGGTATCTTGAATTTCTTTAAACCTAAACCAAATGTCAACTATGGTTTTCCTTGACCATACCCAACACCTTGAGTTACCTGACTGTCACAATTGAATTCCAAACTTCTTAATGGTTCAGCCCCTATACTAAACAACACTAAACCTGATCCCATTGTTTGGGAAAATCAAGATGAATTGGCATTTAAAACCCTGAAGGAAAGCTTAATAAATCCAACTGCCCTTGGCTATCTAAATTATCAGCTACCCTTTAATATATCAAAAAGAGGGAGGGAGATACCCTTGGAGTAGTTACCCCAAAACATGGGGCTACCAATGACCTTTAGGTTACTACAGCCAAGAAGTAGATCCTGTGCTTAAGGTTACCCCCTGCCATGCCTTAGGGCTATCCCTGCTTCTGTCCTGGAAAAGACCACTGAAGAAATAGTCACTCTTTGACTATTTTTGTACCTCAGGCTGTCAAAGCTCTCTTTAACTCACACCATACCCAACACCTTTTAGCAAGCTGTCTTCTTATAAAATTCTCCTCCTAACTGCCCCTCATATCATTCTTGCTTGTTGTAACAATCTCAACCTTGCTACCCCTTTTCCTTTCTTCATGGACAAAATCCCCCATGACTGTTTGACTTTGACAGATTGGGTATTATTATCATTACCACTTGTGATGACTTACAAGAAATCCCCTTGACAAATGTTGACTTCTCATGGCTTACTGATGGCTCTTGAAAAATGAAAATATTGTCTGGATATGTGATTATCAACTCATTTTGAAGTCACTGAGGCTGCACACCTACCTTTGTCCACTTTAGTCCAACAGCTGAATTACATGCTCTTACTCAAGCATCTGATTCTAGCTGATGGTAAAACTGTGAACATCTATATCGAGAGTTGATATCCCTTTGCAGTAGCCCATGGTTTTGGAATGTTATGGAAGCAATGAGGTTCCTTACTTCCATAGAGACAAAATGAGAAATGGTCCTTATGTGCAAAATATATTAGATGCTATACTCTTGTCAGCAACAATATTATTAAAGTCACTGGGCAGTCTGAGTCTGACTCTCTGGAAGCCAAACAAAACTACCTCACTCATGTTTCCACAAAAAATGATGCTCTTATGGGATCCATAGACCAAACCTCTGTCATTGTCCAGAAAACACTACTTCCCTTGGTGATGACTTAAGAGAATTAACCAGGGAAATACAACTGGCCCCTGAAAAAAAAAAACAAAATTGGAGATCCAAAGGCTGTTAGTATCATGAAAAAAGGAAATTCTACTTTGGATCCAATAATAAACTGGTCATGCCAGAAAACCTAAGATTTCTATTAACTACCATATATGAATTGAATCACTGGTCAACTGATAAATGCTAATATTCCTGAATCAATATTGGTGGGGAAACACTTAGCAAGGCTGCAAAAAGTGCTCATCTTGCTCATTCCATCTGTCCTAAATTTCATCCAGGGAAACCCATCCATAGTACCTCCAGACATTTTAGTTTAACTTATGGACCATACAAGGTTTGAAAAATGGAATTCATACAATTTCCCTCATCATGTTGATGATGACATGCTGAAGCAGACAGCTTACCCAAGACACTCAGACCAGGCTTGCCTTCAATTTTTTTTTCCTCTCAGTCTATATAATCTTCATGTTTTAAAAGTAATGGGAAGGGAAAAATCTAGGATATCTCCCACTAAATAAATAAAGGTTTGCATGTTTTCACATTTGCAAGCTTTCCCATGTAAACAGGTGACTGCCTCTTCTGTTGCTAAAATCCTATTTGAAAAAAATTATTCCCACTTGGGGAGTCCCCCTTGAACTTCATAGAAATTGGGGAACCCACTTTTCTGGCCAAATATGTCTGACCAGTTTTGTAGCACTTTCATGGTGTTTCTCATCCTTAGTTTTCAGGACTGGTTAAATGCACAAATAGAATTATTAGGATTCAGTTAAGTTAGTTGAAAAACTCCCAATATCCTGGCCAAAAGCATTACTATTGGTTAAGGCTTTCTTCAGGATGCATAAACGTTCACCTTTTGAAATAATTATAGGGCAGCCAAGCACTTAGCCCCTACTTGTTTTGACCCATAACTAATAAAGGGAGATATATTTCAATTTTGGAGAGACCCAATCAAGTCCATAGAAAATAATTATACTCTGGTAGAAGAGTTTTTCCTTAGTGTGCTCCTGGGAGATGAAGACATCAAACTTCATCCCTTATAGCCAGGGGACGTCATCTACTGGAAAAGTGCAACCAAACTTCAAGGAATAGACTCCTAGAATTCATGTGTCACGTCTAAAGAAAACCTTAAAGCATGAATGGACATGTGCATTAACTGGTGACTTGAAATGGAAAATTTCCAGGGATTGATGCAGACAACACCTGAAGCAGACAGCTTACCCAAGACACTCAGACCAGGCTTGCCTTCAATTTTTTTTTCCTCTCAGTCTATATAATCTTCATGTTTTAAAAGTAATGGGAAGGGAAAAATCTAGGATATCTCCCACTAAATATTTGTAACTACATTATTTTATGCAACCCAAATGAACAGGAATTCACTCCCTGTTGGAATCTAGAAGACTATGCCATCTCTTCCATTAATGTATCTCTACGGTGGGGCCATGATCACTGAAATCCCATGGTATTTCATTACGAATTGACCACTAATCTGATGAATGGTGTAATTTTAGCTTACTTTTTCCCTATAGATTTTCCAGACCTCAACCAAATCTCACTTACATGAAGTAATATAATTTGGTGTTTCAGACCTATAGAAATAGAAGGTGCTTGGATAACCATTCCCATAATGCTAGTGAACTAAATTATCATGTTCTCTTAATAAATGATTTGCTTTCTGATCTGGAGGTCCCCTCTTTCATTCCAGGGAAAAGAATCTGGGTATGCTTTTGTCGGAGCCTATTTACCTTAGATTGGAGTAGCAGACCTTGAAACAACAATTTACAATCTTTCTATAATTATAACAAAAGAAACATCACTCTCGATGTTTCTATCCAAGCTTTTGGATATAAAAAAAATCCCCAGAGAGCCTTGAAGATATGGGTCTGCCAAACTGCAGAGCCCTAACTAAACCTTCTCACTGCTCAGGCATGGGGGAACTACATCCAACTTGGAGAAGACTATGGCGTTTATGTCAGTAAGTTGTAGAAAATAACACAAGAGCTAAAAATTAATGAAGGACAATGTCAAGCTGATAACAGAGGTTGGCCAAGATCCCAGAACTTGGGACATTTTTGATCTATTAAAAACAGGCAATTGGGGAAACACGTTGAGAAGTACATTTCAATCAACAGCTACCAATTGGTTTCTGGTCTTCAGTTTAATCTTTTTAATTAAATTTCTACTGTTTTGTATCAGTAAACAAATGCCTTCTTCCCAAATGTATATACGCTTTCCCTTTCAAAGGCTTTCCCTGAAACTCACATGACCACTGCAACTAAACTCTCTACCTTAGGGGGCCATAAAAGATTCTTCATTTTTCAGTCTTCTTGTTGAAAAAAGGTCATTGAAATTCCACATCATTTCCCCCTTCTGCGGGACAGAGGATGGTCCTCAGCTCCATGGGACATACGATACAGTCTACCTATAAAGAACTATACCTTTTACAATAAATAATGAGCAACACTGGCATGTCATAACTGACCTGTGATGCTTCTGGGAAGGATTTTGATCAAGAGTGGAAACTGAAAGAACTTCAGTCTAAAAATGTAACCAGATCATATAAAACCTTATACACATGCCCTCAGGAACACAAAACTTAAGGACTGAGACACCAGTTTTCTGTAAATAACTGATTTATGAAACACTGATAACAATATAATTTTTTTGAGTGATAGGGAGTTGGTCAACGGTTGCCTCATATCAACCATGGGAAGTTTTATTTAGAGTTGCTAGGGGCATAAACAAGAAGTGACCCAGGTCAGGATGGTCTCATCAAATTAGTTAAATGGATATTTGTTTTTAAGAATAGCCTGGTTTTGTCTTTTGGGGAATTTTCAAAGCTGGTCTACATTTGTTTTTGCTTTTAACTGACTCTAACTGAAATCTTCCCTCTTTACAATCCCTGCCCATAAATACAGTCTAGCCCCAAGCCCTTTACAGACTAGCCTGGAGCTTGCTATAGTTTGAGTGTTTTGAACTGCAATTCCTCTGCTATTACCAAATAAACCCCACCTCTTTTTTTTTATAAGCTTGAGTTTTCCTCAGTTTACCTTTTTATTCAGGTCCACAACTCTTAATAAAAGCACATATTACCATTTCAATGCCCAAAGGCTAGAAAAAACTAGTGGTTTCTTGGAATAGACAACAGGCAGCAATGACTATCTCCAAGTTGCCAGCAACTCTTTGAGGAATTAAGTGATTATCATTCCTATAGTTGGGGGAACTTAATTTTATGATATGCCTTTCTAGTTATTTTTGTCAATATCAAAGTCGGTATAGTGATATCCTTGTTACATAAACCAAAGCTGAAGTCAGGGATATAGGATGACTTAACTAAAGACACTTAGTTATAGATGCAAAAAAGTCTATTTGAAGTTTTAAAAATCATAGATAAGTTGATATATCAGATTTATAGGTATCACTGAACATTTTTTCCTGAGACATTTATCTATAAGAAACATAAGCAAATTAAAACAGCACCTCTACAGCTTCCCAGGCCCACTTCCTGTACTTTGGATCATGAGTCAGTCGCCACATGTACATGTAAGTCTCCACAACCTCTGGCCGTAGGATGTAGTATTTTTCATTTTGTCTTGTAGCAATGGCTTCCACACCACCATCAAATCTGAAAGCTTCTGGTCCCAGTTTCATAACTAAATGACATGTGATGGATGACAAGCATTATTGTGCTGAACATTTAGTGTCTATAATTTAAATGAAACTCAAAAGTACTTTACAACAATTAAGAGATGCCAAAACAATCATTTTAAGGAACAGTTATAAATATCATATAATAAACAATATTCAAAATACTTTTAAAATTTAGTCATCTAGAAGAGCCCATTTTAGAAAATGGTAATGATTCTTTATTTTCTTTAATTTAACCACCATTTACTGAGCAACCATCAGGCAGGTCCACAAAACACCTTATCAGCCAACCAGAAAACCAGTAGTGAGAATGTAAGCCATTATGTCACAAAGGTTATTTGATCTTTGTACTTTTAATTCTTATAAAGAAATAAGCCAGACTCATAATTTATTTCATGTAGATACTAGGAAGATTAATAATGTTTATAAAATGCTAAGTTTCTTGTGCCCGGGGACAGAGACTTTTACCCAATGTTATTTACTTAAAGCAAGGCCAATAAATCAGACTGGCTTAAACCTTTATGGCCTGGATTTTTGTTTCTTGACAAACTAAGGGGAGACATTTTTATATAGAAAAGCAATGCCTCTTTTCCTTTATGATATTAATCCTGATTATCAAGTTTTGTCAAGCACAGTGGATGTTCTGTTGATGGCAGCAAGTACAAAGTTCCTTACTGAATGAAATAAAAGCATGTAGGAATAGACTATAAATGAAGAATAACATATACTCACATGTGCGATTGTAAGATTCATGACAGGTCCGGGCAATTTCAGCCCCAAGTTGAAGGTAGTGTTGTGTCAGGCCTGCAGGAGCATCATCTGCCCCAAGTGCAAACATGCCCCCAGCAAAGCAGGTCAGGTGGCCCATCTTGTGTTCCAAGAGGCCGCCTTTCCACTCCGCGATGTAAGTCAGCCCCCTACTAGACTTGCGGATCAAGTGAGTCTCAATTGCCTGAAAATAATATTTATTTTTAAACATTTTGTGATCTCAAATTTATACTAAAAACACTCACAACATTAAAAAAAGAGAGTAAAACATCATTTACAATTTGAATTGTGTGTTATAAACCCAATTCAACCTGATGTTTTATGTTAATGTTAAGTTAATGTTCTCTGTATACTTCTGCTAGTCTATGCCTTATTAGTCTGGCTAGTTAGAATTCCTGCTGCTGGGCCAGCCTCGCTGGTTCCCCAAAAGCTGTTCCCTTCTCAAAGATGGGCATTCGTGGAGTAGTAATGGCGGGTTTCATGCGTTTCCATTTTTACAACGGAGAAAAATATCAAGCACAGGCCCCATGGGGGATGATGAAGAGAGTATATAAGTGCGTAAAGTACAGTTTGGCTGGAATCACCCTTCCGTTTGTTCTCTTGGGCTTGGATACGGAGCATAACCAAGCAGGAAAGAGGAGCTGTTCTTCAGCCTGATTGCTAGGCTTCAAATTCCAGCTCTGACCCTTAGTTTAGTATCTGTGAACTTTATGGGGAATTTGCTCACTGTATCCCTAACTCTCAGCATCCTTGCTCATAATGCAGTATCTATTGAAAAAACAGCAACATTTTGTTTATAAAGCATCAGCACTGTGACTAGTCCTTGATAAAGGTTGTTTATCATCACAATTCATATCTCCATTGTGATAATACTTGAATTAAGTTCTTCCCTAATAATTCTATTAAAAAACACATTAGTATACAATGAATAAATTAAAAAAATAATAGAGACCTGTGATTTTGTGAGAAATGATAATGTTTATGACAGTGATTCATAAAATAACTTTTATTTCTGCCCCAGGACTGTAGATAGAGAAAATAAGCCTTATATTTTAAAAAGCAAAAATGAAATGTGTTTGGAATTACTAATTTCTAATTTACTGTAACAGAAAATTATTTTCCCCCAATTACTTCACAGAAGGTGAAGGGCTATGACTGTGTCTATAACTGTTACAGTATTATCAAAAAAGAGGGGTTTTTAGGAAGAACATTTGAGAATAGTAAACACAAACCAAACTTGTGATATAGAAGAATAAATGAAAATGAAAATATATGCAGATAAAACCTTTCCTACCTTTATTAGAAATAAACAAATGAAACCAAGTTGGTAAGAAATAAATAAACACACTACTGTGCTCATACATGTGTTTAAGCTAACTTGATTGATGGTCTGGTTATTACATTAATATTTCATTCTTATTTAATGCAACTGAACATCTCAGCTCTTTACACTTCTCATAGCACAAATTGCAATGAAGTCCTTCAAGCTGATACTTGTTCATCACCCAAGAAATTATTCTTTCTACATGGCAAGAGTTACAGCTTTTGAGTATGGATTAGAGAAACATTATTACACTGTTATGGGTCCTGAATAAAGTACTATATTGTTTTTGGCATGATTCTGGCCAAGTTTATACCTCTTAAAATAAATGACAATAAAGTTCTAAGACCTTCAAAGCAATGTTTGTGTGGCAGTGGGAAAATGTAGATAAATATAAATGAGGAAAAACAGTTTTTTAGTGGCTTTAAAACCACAGAGAACTGATTAGGAAAAAAATGTATCACACATTTTGTGATCTCATCCTCACATCTTTGAAAACAATTAGTTTGATAAAATGTTTAGAAACCTAAATGCCTACTGCATCACCTGCCCAGACCCTGTTTGCTCCAGTGCACCTGATGGGGTAAGCATCCACCACTGTGGATTCTTAGTGTGGTCTCCAGATAAGGCCATAATAGCCAGTTGGAAGTTCAGTATTTTCTAATTAAAACAACCAAAGAAACATTCCACACTGGGATTAAATGCTTTGCAAAATCCACTTGAAGCTAAAACTGATGAATTCTATCTCCAGTATCTGAAGTGTCCACAACAATAATTGGAAGGGATACTCTCCTTGATAATTGTTTTTAAAGTATGACTTAGCATAAACTTTGCTAAATAGGATGTGGCTAATTCTCAAATCAGAAATTTAATTTTCTTAGCTTTGTTTCTAAATTACAAACACACAATGTATTGAAAGTGTTTTTTTTTTATTATAAAAAAACCAGAAACATTTTTGTTTCATTTGTTCTTAATGGATTTTCCAGTAAGTTATTTGTCTAAATATATTAAAAGCTGTGGGGGTATAGTTCTGGAAGCTGCAGGGAAAATATTTCAAAGAATATTTTAAAGTTGCCTTTCCTAGAATATCAAGATCTTAGGGGGCAACTTGTAGATTAAAATAGTTAAAATCTCTAACAGGATAGCGATTTAAAAAATGATATAATGCAACCATACTGTATGGAGAAGAATTCCCTAGGTTAAAACTGGAAACTTCATAGAAAGGAAGAAAAATAAACCTAGAAGAGGCCATGTAGACTATATCCCAGTTTGCCTTTGATGTTCATCATGTGCTTTAATTAAGGCTGTGCTAAATAAAGGCCAATGTTCTCATCAGGTGTTCTGCTTTCTATTTATGAAATAGTAGAATTGTATCTGCTCAGTGAAGCCCCCTATTGACCTTGGGAGGGAGCCAATGTAATATGCAATCTGGTCAATCACAGCAAAGCAAGCTGTATTATATTTAGATAAAAAATTGGCCTATGTCAAAATCACCCAGACCTCCTTTTAGGGGGACCAATTTTAGAATAATGGATACATCATTGGGATTACAAATTTCCATTTTTCTCCCCTATGAATTAATACTCCCAATTATAAAAGAATTTCTGAGCATTCACTGAAAAGATCAATTTTATGATGATTTAGCCATAATTTTACATTATTTGAGATGCTTTAATAATTATTATTTAAAAATATGAGTTACCACATAAAATACTTACAATCACAAATGTACTTGATTCTGTTAAAAATTTTATTCCTGAAAAGCTGCATACACATCAAGTATTTTATATAAAACAATTTTCTTTCACTTTCAAATTTTACTTTGAGTTTTGACTGAAGGTTAGTTTGCTCTTACACTGGCTACCTCCTATAGACGTTGCCAAGCAGTATCTAACTTACCTTACTAATTTATTACCTATAAAGAAAGATTTAAATGTAGTATAGAAATTCTTACAAAGAAATCCATACTCGTGAGGTAAAAAGGTACAAATGTTAGTTTGAATTTTGGTTTCACACTTGAACTTCATGAGGTTCAGTTCTTTATCTATATAACTAGGTAAAAAGTAAACTATTATGAAGAAACAAACACTTTAAAGTATCTACTTAACACATTACTTAGAACACAGTAAACAATTCAACAAATATTTGTCTCTTTGCATTCCTCCTCCATTATAAGGGACCTTAGGAAACTATTAGTGATTTTCCTTTAATATTAGTTCAGTTAGTTTGGATTTTTATTTGACAGTACTCTCATATTTCTTTGGAGATAAGTTTACTTCAAATGGAGATAGCCATTAAGATTGTCTATAATCTTAGATAATTTCAACTTAATTTTCAGAATGCAAATTCAGGACTTTTTCCTCTCCATAATTTTAATAGTCACTATAAGTAGGGAACTCATACTCATTGAAGAAAAACACCTCTTTTTCAGATATGTGACTCTTAAGTGAGGTTTGAACCATGGAAAAAACTTTTAACTGACCTGTAGAACTAAACACATCAAATATAAATGCTATTGTTGTAGTTATATTAGCAGATACTGAACTCTACCTAACTGGAAATGTTTTCTAACCTACTCAGGTCATATTCCATTTTTCCATTAAAGCTCAATTAACATACAAGTTAGAATTTAGAGTGGCAGAGATGATTTAAATACTGGGTTTACCTGAACAGCATCAAAATACATCTTCTTAGCTTCTAGATCTGTCTTGTCAGACATTAACCAGGCCTTCAGCAAATATTCATAAAAGCTGTCTCCAAGTCCTCCAACTGATACATGATCTGCAAAGAGAAGGAAATTAATTTTAGAACGATTCAGCCTTTAATCCAGATAATGCAGCAAAATCACATTAGCAGCTAGGATGCAAGACTCTACAGTCAACTGCAACTCAATGTTATATTTAAATTCCAACAAATCTTTCATTTTCAGAAAGATATCATGAAATGAGCAGAGATGCTGTTAACTAATATGATATACTCTAAATAATTACCAGAAAGTTTTGTAAACATGAAGATAAAAAATACATATAATCAACCCTAATTCCAAAAATCTCTTTCTCAAGTAAAAACACCAAATTAAAATGTTTCTCAGTATATATTCAAATACATTTTTCATTGTTTTAGCTCTCAATAATATAAACTATGTCAAAGTTATGAGTATCATCAAATCTTAAAAAACTGACTTGTAATAAAACAAGGTCCTCAGCTTCTTGGGATTATTATTAATATTTGATAGTTTTCTAGTGTTATCAATCTATAAAGTCAAAATCCTTTGGGAGGGAGGCTAGTAAGAAAGAAGATAGGGCAGGAGTTTTTCTTCCTAATACTACATTCCTACTAGCCTCCTCCATAGCCATTCATTATACCAGATCCACTACATATATTACCAACAATCTTGCAACTCTTAGGGTAGATATCCTCATCAAAAGTGAGAAAAGAGGCTTAGAGAAGCTAAATGAGATATGACACTGGTAAATGTCATCTGACTCTACAGCCCGCACAGGGTCTTCCTGCATTTGGAACTGCTTGTCCTACTCTATGACACTGAGTGTATTCTTTCATGTACTGCTTGAATTAATACTTTTATTTTTCAAGCATATTTACCTATAAAAACAGAGGTTTTAATCTGTTTTAAGTATTGTTCCTAGAATTCATAGAGAATTAGTGCATTGATAAGATACCCTTATTTTGGAAAGATGCATTTTAAGTTTAATGATACAAAACTAATTTTATCAATCTATTTAAAAAAAATAAAACCTTTGCTGACTTAGTTACATAAAAGTAAATCAGGTTTTATATAGCTTAGCAAGACAATTTTCTCCTGACACTTCGGAGGCCCTGCGTGATCTCAGTCTTCTCTGTGTCATCAGCCCTGCTCTACAAACTCTGCCCTCTTGCTAAACAAGAGCTGTATATCTTTTGGTCCCTCAAACCACCAAGCACCTTCCTACTTCAGAAATGTTGAAAGCATGGATCTCTCCATCTGACCCTCTCCCCTTTATTCAGAATTTCATATCTGGGATCAAATGCTACTTCCTCAAAGAAGCTTTCTCTGATGCCCCTAGGTTCTCTCATTACATATTGTTTGATAGCACACATCTACCACACTTGCAATTTCATAAAATGGTGGGATTATTTTTATGTCTCTTATGTGAGATTCCAATCCAGGAGGGCAGGGACCAGACCTATTATGTTTCCCAGTATCTATCAGCCCCCAGAAAGTATTTTGCACATAGTAGGTACTTAGTACTAACAACAGATGAACAAAGCAAAATTTTTGTAAGTCAATCTTAACAAGAACTACACATACTCAAGGAAGAAGGGCAATAGTTTTAAGTAGTTAATGATGTGATTTTCTTGTTGTAGAAAGTCCAGAATTATAGCTTTAAAAAAATTACTGTTTTTACAATTGTAAAGCTGATTCCTAAAATAGCAGTGCTTGAAGTGACCTTTACAGTTTCCTAAATAAATTGGCACAGAAACCTCTGACATTTACAAACTAAATGGACTAAGTACTATCTCATCAATAATAAGCCCTGTTGTCATAAACATGATTGCAGGAGATGAATATAAGTGATCCATGATACAGCAAATCACTGTCCGGTTACTGTCAAAACAACAAGGACTTAATTAAGTAACAGGAAACGATGGCCGTTATCCAGACACGTCCTTCAGAGTTAAAGCAACAAGAGTTGAAAAGTAACAGCCAGAAGCAGCTTCATTTTCTCTCCCTTCGGGTTATGTTTCTATAACGGATGGAAGAAGCAAGTTTGGGCACTTGATTTCTTGAGAAAGGAAAAAGGATTATGTAATTCTTTATGCTAATTAATTTGGTACTAGTTTATTTTCTATATTTTAAATTTCCTGACTATTAATTTTTCATACTTGGAAAGAATCAAAATAAAGGAATATAGAGGAGAAACAAGAGAAAGCCTTGTTGATAATTTGACATATCACTTACTAAGCTTCCCCTGTGCCTGGATGACTGTGCTGGCAACAGAGTCCTGTGTAAATAAGTATCTTAGTGGATGTGGGAGAGAATGCGCTTGATTCTATCAGCAGGAAAGGAATGCCTACTTCTAGAAAGAACATATATGATATTTTTATTCATAAATATTCTAAAGGTAATGTGTCCTATATTCACTAAAATATGCTCTTCTCTCAAGGGGTTTATTTGCTCTTTTTTTCCTTAGAAGAATAGGTCCTATAAAAAAGATTTCTAATACTTAATAAGAGAACAAAGCCCACAGCAAAAGGATGAAGACAAAAAGGATTAAGTACTCAACATCTTCATTTTAAAAAATATTTTGTACACTTCATCTGAATCTGAACTCTGTCCTCCAAAGCGAATGCTGACGAAGTTAATGACATTAAATGTACATTAGTGTTGTTACATTATTCAAAGAAGGGTGGTAATTGCTCTGTCTATAGACATGGATCCACATAATATATCAGTGAGGAGGACCTGATGCTCTCTCTGAGCCACAACTGAGGATAAGGGGAAACTGTTTAAAAAGAATAAATAGAACCTTTCCTAAGAGCAGAGGGAGAAAGACTGATTGGATACAGAATTCGTGAGTACTCAGGTTTACTAAGTAAACACCTACTGGATACAAGATACTGATGCTGGGTTAACAAATGTGACTAAGACTAAGTCACTGCCTTCAACAGTTTTGGATCCCTAGGAAGATGTGTGTGTATGAATCATTAGGAAAAAGATAATGATAGAAAAGTACCCAAGGTGCTGGGGCATGGGAGGAGAAGGGCGGGGGGTTAGAGGTGGAGAGGGTACTAACAAATTCCAGCCAGGGTCTTGAGAAGAAGGTCTCCTAGAAGAAAGGGTGATTGAGCTGGGCCTTGGTAGAATTAGAAAGGGCTGAGGAAGCAGCACAAGCCAAGACTTGGATATGGCCAAGCAGGCCTTGATTCAACAGTGAAAAACAAGTGTGTCTTCCTTGTGGCTGGAACACAGAATGGGGTGGGGTGGGGGAAGGACAGACATGGAACTCATCAACCCTGTTTGTTTTTCCAACAGGAAATTGGCCCATAAGCAATCCAAATATAAAGGGCTCTTTGTACCAGAAAACATGGCCAAATACATGGTATATTGGTGACCCAGAAGGAGAAGCTGGGATGTTCCAGTACAACTGAATCTTTCTGTCCCTCTTCATAGTGACTTCTTAATCTTAAGTCACAGGAAGAAAACAGTAAATCATAGAGACTTTTCTTCAACTTTTGAAATCTTTCATGAGAAGAAAAAGCTAAAAGCACTTGTCCATATTTAGTTATCTTGCACTTAGCCACTCATGTTCTATTTCATGCCAAACACTCTAGTGGCCCTCAAACTTTTTAGTCTCAGAACCCCTGTACATTCTGAAAAATGAATAAGCACCCCAAATAACTTGTTTATGTATTACCTATTAATATTTACCATACTGGAAGTTAAAGTATTTAAATTTGAAATATTATTTATTTATTTAAAATAATGATAATATAACCATTATGTCAACATAGTTTTTTAATGAAAATATGTTGTATTTCACACACAAAAAAAATTAGTGTAGACTGACACTGATTTACATATTTGCAAATCTTTTAAGTATTTGCCATACTAGAAGACAGTTGGATTGAATCTGCTCACATTCAATCTATTGCTATATGTTGTTTGGCTGAAATATATGAAGAATATTCAGCCTCACACAATTATACAGTTGGAAAAGGGAAGACTATTTTAATCGTCTTTTCAGATAATTGTGGATATTTTTCTCTGATACTGCAACAAAATTTGACAAGTGGTTTTTTAAAGGTTAAAGGTCTTTGAAGGTTAGTTACAATGTGGAATCAGAAACCATATCAATGAATTTCTGTAATGTTACATAAAAACCCACTGGTCTAGTTTGCAAAAGAATAGATAATTTCCTCGCACATGATTCTGTAATAGCATGCACTGGTCATTTGAAAAATACAGGTTTAGTGAATTACACATATCTTCCAAATGTTGGTGCATTTCATTATACAATATCAAAAAACCTTATTTGTTAATATCACCACCAATCTCATCAGAAAAGTCTTTAAGTGTTAGTTAAAGGCGTTAAGGTCATGGTGGCATGTATATATTTCCCAAAATTCTATTTTTCATTTACAAGCTCCAGTTTTGCCATTGGCATGAATGCTATCAGTTTTCCTTGAAGTGACAGGCTCATTTTTGAGAATATGTCTACCGATTACCACAGTCTGAATAACCAGTTTGCCTTTAGTTAGTCTTTAAAAATGATAATCCATTAACAGTAAGTTTCTAGTGCAGCCTGCAACTCAAACAAATCATACCAGTGCTTTTCTATGAGACAACAATTATTTATTATGTGGCAAAGAAGTGTACTCAATGGTTGAGATTTACTAGAATTAATATTTTCTTTTGCTTCATTGAGAACATTTATAAGTGAAACTGACATGTTTTTATTTGTTATCACCTGTAGTTCTCACTGTGGCTGCAAATAGTTTTACCCACTGTTGCTTGTATAACCTAAGTGCAAATGTCAACACAGTGAAAGAGGCAGAAAGTTGTAGTATTATTAAAATAGCTTTGACCTGTGGGCTAGAAGGTCTCAGGGACATCCAGTAATCTGTAGACCATATTTAAGTTAAATGGCCACCTTGATTATGATCTTATGGTCTCAATAGCTAAGCTATCCATAAGTCATTACAGACAGATTTCAGCATGTATTTTTTCTTCTAAATTATTCCATAAGAAAAACACTTCTAAAGTAACAGTGAGGCGTAATCATCTAAGAATATCATTTTAATATAAAGAAAAAATCAAATTTGAGTAGAAATGTAAGGCATCACTAAGGCGCTCGGCAGAGCCAGGCATCTTCCTTAGTGTCCTTGCTCACAGATGCTGTGTAATCTACCACTGTTTTTCCAGATCTGCTTGAGAACATTTCTTTCAATTATTCTGACTTGTTATACCAATGGTCAAAGTTTCTAACGATCTCAAGTGAGGGCTTCTGGCATGATACTTTTTCCTAATCTAATCTCCACTGGCAATAAACCTTTTTCTGTAGTCTCAAAATTAAGTAGAGAATATATCCTGTTTGTTCTTTCAATTTCCCAGCCCATAAAGACTGAGGGTCCTCTCTCATCTTATAGCAAGCAGAAAGAGAGAAAATGTTTGAAGGAGAGTGACCTAGCTACTCTGTGCAAAACCCTGAAAGTCATTAACACAAAGAGCCATTTTCTTTCTATGCAAACGATCAGCTTGATACAGGCAAACATCCCCACACTACCCTGACCAGATCTTCCCTTTCTGATTAATAGTTTTAAATGTGCTGATTTGTCATTATGCTCCAAGTTGTGTTTGAAAAATAAACAATCTAGTTCCCCGGTAACACAGTCTATCTTATAAGAGACCTATTATATTAAAGAGACCATGTGCCTTTTCCCCTTTTCTAAACATTTCCCCAAAAGATTTGTGCTTTTCTGTGCTGCTTCTCTCTGTTACTGAATAGTGCTGGGTAGGTACCAAAAAAAGCTAAAACAGTGCTAATCCTTTGACTTACATTGACCCCACTGTCCACTGCTGGGATTCAGATAGTTAGGGTAAAGGCCTTGTGGCTTTTCCAGGTTATTCAGTACTGTTCGAATATTCATTACCTACAACAGAAAATGATATGTTACTAGGAAAATAAAAAAAAATGATTCTGGTGCCATTCTTCTCGCTTTCCTCATTACATTTTTCCATGTAAGAAAAATAAATTACTCAGATGATATAGAATTAGAACAAGAATACACCAAGCTACAAAAATAATAGCAGTAAGCAAATACAGTCACACTACCCTATGCCAGACACTATACAAGGAACTAGGGACATATCGGTGGATAAACAAAGTCTTTGCCCTCCTGGAATTTGAGTTCTACTGGGGTGAGACACAGAATAAACAAATAAGTATGTCAGGTGGTGATAAATTCTATGAAAAAAACACAAGAGTGTAATGCTGTGAGGAGGTGAGGCTGTGGTATGCTGGCCAGGATGGTTTGCGGAGGCCGATGAAGGAGTGTTTAGGCATAAACTTGAAGTGAAGGAGCAGGACAGGCAGGAAATGAGGAAGAGCAACTTGAGCAGAGGGAGGTGCAAATACAAATGCCCTGAGAAGAGGGTGGGTTCAGTAAGACCCCTGAGGCCAGAGACGAGGAAGCAAAGGAGACACAGAAGAGAGAAGTAGCTGGGGCCCACACCGTGCTGGCCTCAGAGGCTGTAGTGAGGGCTTAGATTATTCTGAGTGCGATGGGAAGCCACTGAAGCCTTTGTTTTTACAGGATTGGTTTGACTGAGGGGGCAAGAGAAGAAAAAGAAGGGGTAGTTGGGTGGTTACTGCAGAGCCCAGGTGAGAGATGATGGCAGCAGACACAACAGGAGAGAGACAAAGGATTTCTTGATAGACTGGACCTGAGGTTTACTTGAAAGAGAGGACCCAGGAGGACCTCAAGATTTTTGGTCTGAGCTGCTCGGTAAACTGCAGTGCCAATTGCCAAGATAGTGAAGGCTGGAGTAGAAGCAGGTATGGGGGTTGAGTCTGGGCATTTTAAAGTAGGAGCTGTCTTTAAGCTCTCTTACAGGAAATGTAGAGCAGGTAGTTGGAGAGCCTGGAGTTCAAGGGACAGGTTGGGACTGGAATTATAAATTTGGGGTCAACAGCATGTAGATAGTATATGAAGCCATGAGAGTCGATGAACTAATGTAGACAGTGAACATAAACAACAGCAGCCCAGGTTTGAGTCCTGGGGATTTCTGGTATTAGAGGTTGCGGTGGTGAGAAGGATCCAACAAAGGAGACTAAGAAGGAGCCCCCAGTGAGGAAGGAGCAAGCCAGGCTGGCATCATGCGCCTGCAGCCCAGTGCAGAGCGTGTCTCATGGTGCAGAGACCAAGTGTGCCAAATGCTGAGAGGCTGGGAGAGGAGAGGTGATGGTGGTTGCTGGACTGGGCAAGGTGGCGCTTATGGTTACTGTGACAGGGTGGCTGGGAGAAAAACCCAACTGGCAAGCATTCAAGAGTGTGGGAGACAAGAAAAAGTAACAAACAGAGACCATCTTTCGAAGCAAGAATTTATACAAATGTCTATGGGTTTGTTTCTTGAAAATTAGAAATTGATTCAATTGCTGCCTCAAATTTGTATAACACTTTTGAGTTTAAATAGTCTTTCACAAAGTTGGTTCATAGAGTCCATACAACGCTATACATTTTTAGATGAGGAAAAAAATTCAGAGATAATGTAACTTGTTGAACTTGTTGGAGATACAGAGAATCAGATGTGTAAGCCAAGCCCTCTTACACTGAGTTAGAATGGTGCCATGTAAAGAGTGTGGGTTTACAGTTCAGTTAAATTAAATTCTTCCCTGTAATAAGACCAAAGAAAGCTGTTATTAAACTTGGTTGTCCTTTTTCACAGCCAATATTACTGAGTCTTCCAGGAGAGGATTCTGTTTTTCACAAGGACTGCTCTGCAGTGTAAGGCATATTGGAGAATCTCACCTTTTCAGCAAAGATGGGGTTTCCGGATAAGTGGCTTAAGTGTATAAACTCCAAATGCAGAGTTCCAAATTCTGCCAAAATACTGCTGCCTCCTGAGGCCCACGGCCAGTTTCTTCCAATCCCGCTAAAGAAGAGAAAAGATGGAAGAGTTATGGGTCAGACTAATTCCATTTTTTTGCAGCTCTAAATGGTAGAAGTGAAAGAGATAGCTTTTGAATAAAGGCATCTCTGCTAATAATCCATTCTGGGTATGTAAAAATATCTACCATTGTTATCTTTGGCTACTGGTTTTAGGCTTTGACTCCTATCTTTAGATTGAAAATTAGTGTTAAGACTTAAGTCAGAACAAAAGTTGCTATGTGCTTGCTGTTGATCACACACAAATATTTTGGAGGGTACAAGTGCCATATAGAGATGTACACCTATTCCAAGTAGAATACAAAAAATTAGACCAAAACACCCCACAATGCCCCAAATCCCACATGAAGCCCTTCAACATTTTAATTAATTTCAGCCTGAGAATCCCTTGGACTGATACAGACATTCACATTCTCTATACATTTGCGATATAAGATGAATTTTGGGTTTATTAGTTGTATGCTCACTCCACCCTTATCCAAACACTCCCTCCAGTTACTATACTTCCTTTCTTAGTGTGAGTTTCTCTTCACACTATTTTACCTATTCTCTAAGTATGCTTTCAAAGGCAATAACTCACTCCCTGACCTATTTTATCTATGCTCAAGAATTTCAAAAAAATTATATAATTCAAGTCTGAAAGGGGTCAGCAGCATGAGCTTCAAAAATTATTGCCTCATGGCTCATCCTGGAGAAATACTTTTTAAAAAGAGTTAGTTTTAAACATACACACATGCAACTACACATAAAGTACTTCCTGAGACATGGTCATACACTTGAGTACAGTTTATTTCTGGAGAGCCACTTAAAATGTCAAGACAATGTGATAATTCAAATAAAGAATAAAGTTAGTGATTGTCCCTACCAATAAATTCCCTTGCAGAAAGCCAGAAACCTACATCCTGGTTTTAGTTCAGATGCACATTTATTGCATGCCTACTATTTGCCAGGGACTATGCCTGGCATTGGGTTACACAGGTAGTTATGATAAAATAAATCACTCTTTTCTTAGAGACCATCTGGTGTAATGGGCAAGAAAGATTTAAGCATAAATAATTCCAACCAAATATGTGAAGAGCCAAGATAAATGTGTTGAAATTGTTGAGCACCTAGAGCCAGGACATGCAGTCTGACACGGTGCAGATCACGGAAGGCTTCTTCAAGGGGCAGACTTCTGAGTTGATTCTTCAAGGGTGAATAAGAATTGGTGAGGGAAGAATGGCGAGAGGTCAAATCTGGACATAGAGCAAAGGGTGAGCCAGGAACTGGAGGTAGATCCCGATATATGACTGGAGGGTAGGGAAGGTGGCAGGTGAAAAGGTGATAAGGTTCAACTGGGACCATATCTTGGAGGCTTGAGACTTCTAACTTCTCTTTCCAAGTGGGCCCAATTTAAATACTGCTCTTAGTGTCCTCTAGATTTCCTATCCCCTTTGTTTTCTGCCTTATATCATTCACAGCTCTGGGTAAACGCTTGTGTTCTGTCATCGCTTCTGCGGCAGGGCTGCTAAAGGATGCTGAAGAAAACACTAAGGACAACTGGTATCTGAAATTCTAGGCTGGCTTCACTCTCATTCCCTCTTTCTTTTGAGAGAAAAATCTAGATTTTGTTCTCAAACACAGATTTACAATCAACCTAATAAAAAGTAAAACGAAATAAAGGAGATCTGAAAATCACATAATCATTTAGTTTAGAGAATGCCTTATATTATTAAGTTCTGGGAATGTGAGTCAGTTTTTATTTTCATGGCTGGCTTAGATAAAAGGAATTGACAATCATCCAAATAGGATGAACAGCTACTTTTAAATTTTATTAACATATGGCAAATGCACACAATAATTGCTCATTAATTATTTTTTATTCCAATCATTCTATCATTGCCCAAAGTCAATAAGCCTATTATTAAGCAAAACTACAAATTTCTATGTTCTAGATAAATGATTAAAAACAAAGCCACAACAGGCAAGAGGGAATGATGACTCCATCCTGGAGAGGATGAGGAAGCGTGCTGAGGAATCCAGCCCAGTTTCCAGCTCGGGGTATTAGAGGGTGTGGCAGTACATGCAGATGGGAACTTAAGCAATATACAGGTATTAAAGTAAAGTTCAAATTACTTTTATAACTACATACTATTCCCTGCTATTAATATGGTTAAGAGAAAATCAAAGATATACTGAAAATTATTTACTATCTTAAAAAAATTAAGATTTAAAGAGGGTTGTACATTTCCCCTCTTTCTCCTTCTGAGCAAGAACATTAAGGCACTAGCAAAGGACATATCATGCTCACAGAAAGAAAGCTGGGTTTAGAATACATGGTATATTTATATGAGAGAATGGCTTTGGTATCCATTCTTTCAGCCTACAGAATTACAGAATTAATTTATTTCAGTAAAATTATAAGATCAATGGCTGTGCTGGATTTTAATTATAAGTCAGGAAAGGGTTTCAAGAAATCAGAGAGCACATTGGTATGCCTAGATATTAAAAAGGTCACTTATCTGCTCTAAGGCAAAGCTGTAAAGACCTGGACAGTGGCCTGGGGGAGAGCACTGGCCACACCTAAAGGGACATTACAGCTAAAATGTGTGTGCGTTGGGGAAATGGCTGCCTACTGCACAGCAAACGTGCACTCGGTCAGAACTAAGTTTTGGTCACTCACAGAATAATTTCTAAGATCTTTTTACCTCTAAATTCTATGAGTCCACTGACAAATCTATATATTTGTATGGCTCTATTTTTTAAAATGATATATATGGACAGTGGACACTGACACCAAAATGGTGGGTTTGTGGTGATGGGAAATGAGTCCACAGAGAGCTCTGCTCCCTCTGGGGGTCGGGCTGCCCTGGACATCCTGTGATACCAAAGGCTGAGCTTTCTAGGCCTTTGGGTCGAAGTATATCCCATCTGAGGGAGTAGGCATTTAAAATGTCTTTTTCAGTTCCATTATCACAGTATTTTAAAGGCAGTTATGGTGTTCCTCATCTAAACACTAATAATATTTAGAAAAATATTTTAAAAGTAGAATAACAGTTTTTCTTCATAGACTGTTAGCTCCATCAAGCAGGCGTACAAGGGAAGAATATTTAAATATTCCCCATCTTGTTAAATGACTGCACTGTAAGCCAAATGATGAGTAAGTGTATGGAAATGTATACACAAAAAGGCAATTAACATGATTTGGTGAGCTGCCAGGTATTAGGTGCAAAGAATTCTGGAATAGAGCTTCAAACTTTTTTATCACTCTAATTTTATTTGTTTCCTCCAATCTCCAGTTTTTCAATTTTCATTTGGAGTATTAATATGTATCTTTCATACATAATTTAAATTTTCAATATTCAACAAAGGTACTAATTCTCTGAACATGAAACATCACAACAAAAAAGTAATTGATTTTGGCAACTGCAATTCAAAACCTTTCTTTAAAACAAGTAAGTCACTATGATTGTTTTGGAAATGTGGAATATTGTTTTGTTGCTTTACAGAGTATTATTTGAATATATTTTATTAGCAGTGGTAATATACTTCCTTATCCTATTGTACTCAAAAGCAATACGGTGTAATTATTTACTGACCTCACAGCTCTGAGAAGCAATGGGAATTGCGTGTTTTTTCTTCTCTCTTTTGGGAACGGTTAATAGCACCAGAGAAAGGAACTACAGAACTAATGATGCTATTTACCCACATTTGAATCCCATGGGAGCACAGCTTACTCTTCCTAGAGCTTGTAATGGATTAAGTAGCTGGAGGATTGTGTTGAACTGATGGTAGATCCCTTCAAAATACTCTTAAATTAAGGTACCCAAGGTTATATGCTATAGTAACTGCCTAGATACAATGTGGATCATTAACAAATATGTTTGGCTAGTTCGTATAATCAAATGCAACAAATAAAGAATTTATAGAACTGAAACAGTTCTTTAAAGAAATCACCAAATGAATATATAAACAAAGCATTAGTTAGTTATAAAGTCTGAATTAGCTATGACTTTCAATTTACTTTTCCTGGCAGCTTGTTATTCTATGCAAAATGGGAAATGGACAAATAAAGAGTTTTCTTGAGGATTCTTGCCTGAATAATTTCTGATTAGCTGATTAATAAACAAATACCCTTCAAGTTCACAGTCCAAATATAAGTTACTCCTCAGGGCTATGGAGTTAATAAGTTTTGGAAGAAAAAATTTCCCAAATAATGTATATTATGGTAAAGCCTTATTTATGTATGCAAATTGAGGTGCACACAGGGATATCTAATTCAAAAGGGAAGACAATCCAACATTATTCCTTTTGGATTTCAGCACAAATTAAGAAAGAATAATTAGAAAGTTCATGAATGATTGTTTTATTTAACTGCATTCCCAAAGCTAGTTGATTTTGAGATCGAGCAATTTCAGCTTCACTTACTACAAATGGCTTCTTCCTGAAAAGGTTTGCACAGTACCAATCTTTCAAGTATGTAGTTTTAACACCTCACGAAAAGTTGTACTAACAATTCCAGGGACTTGCATTCTAAGAATAGTCAAGATTCTACTGTAGCCCATCCATAGAAAATTCAATTGAGGAGGAATATTTTTTCCACAGGGATAAAAAAAGGTGGCTATTAAATGACAGCCATCTGACTGAATGAAATCATAATCCATGGCTTACTACTTATGAACAGCAGCACGTGGGCTGAACCTCCAAAGAATTTCCATGCTTAAATTTTTTAGCCAAAGGCCAAAATTTTTAAAAATTAGCCATATCTTCTCCATCTTACAGGTAAACAAAATTGAGAGTGAATAACTATTATTTTATTTTCAGTCTACTGCTGTCCTTGTATTTGACTATTTAAGATTGGAGGAGGCTGGGGGTTACAGACACTGAATGGTGATATGACCTAATTCCATAAATAACATGCTCCTGAGGTTCAAAGATGCCAAAATTCGGTTTCCCAGTTGTCTTTTCAGTAAGATATTCTTCCTAACCATTGTCAACAGACTGCTA